TGATAGAATTTTTTATTTTATTTTTAAAATTTACAAGTCAAGAAGCCATAATATTGATTAGTATTTATTTTCCAGTCATTCAAGTTTAGTCTTCAATTTCAGCTGTCAGAAACTGATTACACTTTCTCTGAAAAAGCCCATCATCAAATACACATCTTCACAAGAGGCATATCCTATCTGCATCGTCACAAGAGGCAGAAAAGCAGACAGGCTTTAGTTAGACTAAATGCAAAATTCAGGAAAAAAAAACCCCTACAAAATTTGAATTTTAAGAAGGAAATTAAGCGTTTAGCAACAGTATCGCAATACCATTGGTAAAGCCTCAAATACAGTGACTGATTTAAGCAACATTCAAAAAAATTTTACATTTTACAAGAGCAAGCTGAGATCACTAAAACATTAGCTGATTTTCAAGTGTTTTGATATGCAAAGATAACATTCTACATTCACTTACTAGATAAAATCCAAAGGCTTTTTAACAGCATTACCAGCAACTCATAATCCTTCTACAACTATTCTGTAGCAAGAGGAATTAAATAAAACCATCAGCGATACCAGAAAAAAGTAGATGTTCGCTCACTGCTTCACACCCACCACTGAACACTGCCCGATTTGCTCAGTTGCTGCTGCCAATGCACATGTGCAGAATTATAAAGAAACTTCCTGCTTGCACAGATCCCATCACATTCTTAACAACAGTAGTTAATAAATAAAAAGGCTTTTGTATCTTGTGTAACAGCTAATTATATTCATCCTACTTGCCTCCCCCCAAACTAAAACTGTACTCCACCAACCGCACACATATAATTGCCACTACATCAGATAATACAGACCTTAATTGCAATGGCATTATAAAAGTACAGTATGGTAACAGACAGGAAGAAATTACCAGTAAAACTATGCAACTTGAGAGGTTCACATTATAAAACCAAAGCAGCTTAACAATTGTCGCTGCTGTTAGGACAGACTTTGGAACAGAAGTCAAGCTACCTCAGAGACACCAAAAAAGCAAACTATAAATATATAATGCACTTAATTTATTATACATAAGTCATCCTATTACATACATTTATCATTATGTTTTTTCCCCCCCCCCCCCCCCCAACCAGGTAAGCAGAAATACACATTGGAACTCAAAACATTACAAAATGTAATACATAGTCCATTTGCTATAGAAACACTGCCTCTGTCATATTGATGACCATGTGCCACCAAAATAAAGGACAGTCTTAGCATCCCCACTGAAGGAACAAGACATTTCAATGAAGAGTTCAATTCTGTAGCAATGACTCTTTGAATTGCAGGGGAAGGCGGGGTGGGGGGGCGTGGGGGGAGACTGCTAATGAGGTCTCCTCCACAACCAATTCTTGTCACAACTTGGTCATGACCAAATTTGAAGAAACCACCAGAAATCACAAGGTTAGTAATTACATTGCAGATTAAAATTAGGTAACCTGATTACATTAAAAGACTGACAAGACAACAAAAGATTTAATGAAATGTGAAGTTCAGCAAAAAGGGGAAAAAACCTTTCAAATATACACATTTAAAAAAAAAGAGCATAAAGGAAGAAAGAACCACATTCATAAGACTCCAGCTCTCATCTTTTCTATTTTGTCCAAGTATTATTATCCTACACAGCTGAGCACAATTTTAATCCTGAACACACTGCAGGGAACACTGAACAGAAGAGACGAACGAAGAGAGAAGCTAGCAAGACTGGAACCTGGACAATCAGCTCAGGGTTCCCACCAGATACTCTGTTCTGATCGAGCACCTGCCCCACCCAAACATCCTTACAAATGTTCAGATAGTGAAGAAAATAAAAAGCCTCTCAATACAAAAAAGCCTCTGCAACCACGGTCTTTGTTACAAGCTGTTTGAACACAAACATAATGCAGTACCTTTATTTTAAGCTCAAGGTTGTCATATTTTTCTTCTTTTAAGACAAATATACAGGATAAAATTTCATACATTCACAGGTGAGAGGCCATAAGAGCAGAATTGTTTGTTACTATCACAATAGAACTATTCATTTCACTATAATCAGAATACAGTCCTAGATCCAGCTGCAAAATATTACCCATTTCTTCTACTGAATGACTCCACCCATATGTTGCAAACATAACAGGTTTTTAGCACTGTAATCACCTTCTAAACTATGTTTTTTAAGACTTCAAACCAAATCAGCTTCACAAAAAAAAAAAAGTGTCTGGTAGAAGATGCAGTAACAAATACATTATCTTTCAGGCTGTAAGAATACACAGAATTCATCTGAATTGACTGAACTTTCACAAATCCCAAGAGTTGGCTATGTAGCAAGTACAAAACTACAAATCTGAATTTACTAAAGCCTTGAGACAGCTAATCATTACTCTCAAACAAAGTTTTTGCAGGTAAAATTTATAACTTACAGAAAATAATAGTCAGCGAGACGCTCAAAAATTAATCGCCCAATTTTACTAGCTTTCAGGGAGCAATGCAAAATTCTTGTATTCTCTGCCTGAATATAATTTTGACAGGAGACATACAACCTCTCTGCTGAATAACTGATATATCTGTCACTTCAAAAACTGCACGACAAGTAACAAACCTCCCTCTTTCACAGCCCTTCATAGAGGATTTAATATTCCTTCAATTCTGTATCTCCTCCTCAGATGTTTTAGATAAAGTGTTATTTTTTTGGTTCCTAAGTAACAGTCCTCACATCTGAAATTATTCATAAATATATAACTGGGTCTGCAATACAAGAAAAAAAGTTAAAAAGGTTTACCATCTTTCATCCTCACAGATCCAAATAATGAACTGCTCTGCAAGATGTCAATTCACACTCATCCCAATGGCTACTAGATTTTTGTTTTGTGTGCTAACATGGCAGCAAAAAATAATCTGGTATTACACACAGAATTTAAGGACAACTTGAAGGCATTCTCTTACCGACATCACTTCCTCTTCCTTAGAGCTGCAGCTTCTTGGGGGGGCTGGGGGGGGGGCGGGGAGGGGTGGCATGGGACCCAAAACAACAAGCAAAAAAAAAAAATTCCAAACTAAAAAAATCACCTCAGACTTGTTAGGTTTTACTCACTTTCTAAAGAGCCCTAGAAAAGGGCATCACTGCTGAGCTATAAACATTTGACCAGAGATCAAAAGGTTGATTATTTGAAAAGGAAAAAGCCACCACAAAAAGCCTTCACACACAGAAAGCAGGGGGGTTCATGAAACTTACTAATGTCTGTTCCAAATGCATGGAATATTTCTTCAGCCTCACCTGCTTTTGCAAACATGCTGTTATGTGCAATAGAAAGAAAAGCTTCACTGCTTGCACAGGTCTCGTGTTATGAGCCACACATGACAAATGTTAAATTAAGTCTTTTAATGAGCTGTCAGAAAGTCCTCCGATGTTACAAACAGTGCATACAGCAAGAGCCCAAACTGACTAAGACTGAGCAGATAAAAACTATCATTTGCCAAACTCAGATGTTTTGACATGTTGTCCATATAAAAATTTGCAAGCATTAGAAATTCTCAGGAGTTCCTCCTAGTCAACTTCTTTGAATGTATCCATAAAACGCACTACGTGATTGATTTTTCTAAAATAATACCATAAATTTCCAGTTTGAGGCTTTCAAAGCATTGAGGTATTTGATTCATTACTGTAATGTTGTCAAGACAAGGAAAGGATAGACAATATACAAAATACAGACAAAGCAGATAAAAATAGAGATTCTAAACACCTTCAAATCTATGCAACAAAGAACACATAAAGCAATTTAGTACTAACAAGCATTAGAAAAAAAACAAAATAGAAAACAAACAGGCCAATGAGACAGCTGCATTTGTTATAGTATAGGCCAACAAACTAGCTTTTTTTTTTTTTTTTATGCTGGCAGATTAAACTGCACAGAAGACAGAAAAACTTCAAACCTAAATGTTAATCCAGTTCAAGCATTTATTCCAAACTCACATACTAACTACTCCATTCCTGCGGACATTCAGAAACACATGCCTGAAAAAAATGAATGGTGTAGGTTTTGATATATTCACTTTCTTTTTTTTAAACAGGCAAGAGTGATGAGGTGGTATTTACTTTCTTCATTTGTTACCTTCCCCCGCCCCTTGAGCCTGACAGCAGTTAACAGATTTTGTACAAATCTAAAAATGCAGCCAAACGAAGGAACTCAAGAGTAAGAGAGTTGTGTAGTAAAAGTTCAAGTTGCAGTGTATGACTGCAGGGGTTTTTGTTGGTGGCTTTTTTCAAACCTGGAAGAAGTACCCTAACCCTGGAGCATCTCACGTTAAAGCAACTTTTTGCTAGTGAGAAGCATTTACGCTCAAATGTTTAAATCCCTAAGGAGCTTCCACAAACAATGGAAACCCACGCCAACAGATTCCTCAGAAGATACATTTGGTCACAGGCTGGAGCATTACGTCCATAAGCTAGCGTTCTTAATGCTAGCATTGCCTTCGTGTTCACAGAAGACTGTGACTACCCTTCTTTAACTTCTGGAACCAACTTTGCTGGCAGGGAGCTGCTAGGCTAATACTGTCAGCATGCCAAGTCCCGTCGCAAGGGTGGATGAGGCTGATCCACCGTGGGAGGAAGGAACAGGCTCGGCAGACAACTCCGCTGGAAGAGCCAAGAAATCCCTGCTGGCTGTCAGGGCTGCCTCGAAGGTCCTACCAACACAAGCGCAACCTGGGAAACGAACGCCCCACTTGACAGCTCCCTCCGAGAGCCTCTAGCAACTTCTCCACCACACAGCCCTGCAACGCGCCCGGCTCCGCCACCCCGACGAGGAAGTTCCCGCGCCCCTTATCAGCGCCGGTCCAGAAGGTTCCTGAAGCCTGGCGCGACACCCTCCCTGCCCCACAAGCCTCCTCCAAAGCCGGGGGAGCCCCTGCCCGGCCCGGCCGCTTCCCACCGCCCCCGCGGCTGAGGGGCGCCCACCCTCCCTCCCACGGCCCGCTCAGCCCCGCGCATGCGCCCCGCGGCCCCTCACCGTTGCCGGGTGACTCGCCCTCCCCGCCGTCCTCAGCACCAGCAGCAGGTTCCTCCGCCTCTTCCTACCCCGGGGGCCGGCGCGGGGCCTCTCCTCACCGCTCACGCTCTTCA